ATATATATCATTATAGTTTAACATGCGAAAGTATATAAATTTTTATTTCTATCATATTATAGATTAATCCTTATTATAGGAACTTGTAATTTTTGTATGTGTTAGAGTTCTTGGGATTAATGGTATACAAACTTTTAACATCATTAAGTTGTTAGACCTACAATAACATAACGAGTCTGATTTGGGCAAGGGCAGCTCGATTGGTACACAAAGTATTTTGTGTTCATGCACGGTTCGGGGAAGTCCCGCACCTACAAGGTATAATGGAGACAAACCCTAACATAAGTGTTAAGACTGCTTTTACGGCTCGAACTCGTGACCTTATGATCACGCAGATATAATTTTATCGTTGCTCCAAGGCTTTCCTTTTGGTATACTAACAAATTTTTACCTACTATTTCCCATAAAATTTAATTAATAGCGTAAAAATTCTCTGCATTGTTAATGTATTTAACATATGATCCTAACCTTAGAAGTGATCTGGTATATATAAATTAATTACTACAATAGTGCATACTCATAATTAAACTCTTTTTCTTTTTGAAATTAACTACCACAAAGCCGTTGTTCAAACTTTACCAGCTGCCTTTTTCCTCGTTTCCTTCCCCAACACCAGGAAGTAAAGTGCTGGTTGACGACGTATTTTACAACAAAAAAAATTACGTAATGATGTGGGCTTTAGCTATAAGCTTGAATTCCAATATATTCTCAGCTTGACACTTGGTTATTACTTATTACATCATTGGCTGGGGTTTCTTTTTTTTTTTTTTTTTTATGGATATTTTTTTTTTCCTTTAACAGACTATGATCATATATTTCAGTTCAGACGTATTTATGCTGTTGGGCAGGATCTTTTTACATAATTAATCAGGTGATACATTTAATTGAACCTGCATCTGACTAAGTAAATGATTCTTTTTAAAATTTCGGACCCAATACTAATAGCACTATTTTTTTCCAGCAAATGGTGATATTTCTGGAAAAGAAGGCAGCCGCGGACTCTTAAGTCAATTTGACTCCAAATATTCTGTTTGAAAGTTAACAATATACTTTGTAAGCTAGAAAACAATCAAAAGTAAGAAAAGGGTAAATCGTAATCAAATATAATAAACCTAGAGATGCAAAGATGATATTATTGTCGTAGATCTAGTATTGCAAAGTGATAATACGAACTCAATAAGATATGTTCGTTTGAGGTAGAGATAGAGAGAGAAAGCCAGAAAATGAGAGAGTTGTATTAGATCAGAATCCCCCCTTTACAATGTGAAGGTCTCCTTTATATAATAAGAGACCTTCTTCGAAAGAATCAAAAAGTTACAAAGACAGGTAACGTCTCCCTAGTGAAGACACTGAGTCCTAAACGATGTCGCTTTTGTCCCCACGTCTGAGTCGTACCCGCTACGTTAGTCGGCGTACACTCACTGGGCGTACCCACTGGCGTAGAGATGCTGAGGGTCAAATTTGACCCTATACAGTTAGTCCCTCCGCTCGTTGGAGACGCATTCGGTGGGCGTCTTCGATGGGCGAAAATGCGAACCTCGGCTTAGGAGAATTTGACCTCGACCAGGGGCGGCAATATGAATGAGGTGAAATATATGACGTTGTTGAGCCACTGACGCATGGCTTCCTTTTTGGAATGACGTCATCGCCTGTATGCATCATTATTATATTTGCCCCCGAGGCGGTTCAGAGGATGATGTGATATTTTGGTTTCCCGCGCACGTTTTGAATCATGACTCTTCGATTTCTGCGCAACTTATCCCTATAAGTAGGAGAGAGGTTCGATTCGATTCAACTTTCAAGCCTTCGGAAAGCATTTTCTGATTTACTCCTTTGTCTTTCTTTCCTGTAACCGTTATTTCGTGAGGGACTCTCCCACTTCTGTCGAAACCACACTTCCTATCGTCAGTGCTTCGTTTCTTACGTAGTATAATCATGACAAAACGTGGACAGAGTAGTAAAAAGGCCAAAGATAATGCCCCGTCTAGGGTTCCGCCATCTTCCGGTGGTGAAGGGGAAAAGGCGGAGAAGGCCCTTGTTCCTCTCAGTGTAGACAACGTCCTTCCGAAGGAGATGCATGTTCGCAGGGATTTTCCAACTAAAAGCCCAGACCTTCCCTGGGAGCACAGCGTTTTATTACAATCCCATTTAGATGATCTTCGAGAGACGCACCATATTCCGGACCACGTGGAAATGGTTCCGGCCGGGACGGACTATGCCAATGTGCACCGGCCTGGATATTGCACATTCTATGAGTACCCGTTCTTGAACGGTTACAATCTCCCAATCTACCCTCTGATGGAGGAGCTTTGCCGTTTTTACAATGTGTGTCCGGCTCAGCTCACTCCTTACACCTTGAAGGTGTGCCGTATTATGACCACTTATGCGGCCAGGGCTGAGTGCAGCGTCTCGGTCCACCACCTCTTACAGTTATTCAGCCCTGGTTACCTGAGGGGTACCATGCTGCAGTTAAAAAGTCGTGGCACAAGGGGCTTGGTTGTTAAAGCCGATGATAAGCCCAACCGCCGCTTTTGGCGTAAATATTTCTACATCAGGACGGAGCACCTGGTGTCGAATCCCGAAGGGTTCCCGGAAAGATGGAATCCAGAACGTAAGTATTTCTACTCGTAGAATTCAGGACTGCTTGCGCTTTTGACCATACGGCCATTGTGATTTCTTTGCTTTTCTCCCTTTTTTATTCGCAGCGAGGGCTTCTCCACCCCAGTTCACTGATGACATTAAATCATGGGTGGAAAGAATAATACCTTATGCGGAGGAATGCCGTACCTGGGCTGCATTTCTTCAACAGTACGGCCCGTCAGGTAATTCTTTGGCTACGGTTTGGGAGTTCCCTACGTTCTTGTTACCTGACTTATTCACGTTGGCAGGTCGGAGCGCCCCTAAGAAGAAGAAAAAGAACGTCGTCACCTCACCTGGGGCGGGGACTGATTCTGAAGACGGATACATACCCTGTGGTTCGCCCAGTGATGGCGCTGCGGAGGTTCCTCAACCGCTGCCCGTGGTGGCGTCCACGAGGGGAGCGACTCCTTCAATGCCATCCCCACGGGCTGTGGAGGAGACTTCTAAGAGCGAGAAGCCGCCGGAAAGGAAAAGACGTCGGTTGATAACCGGCAAGGGGATAGCCACAGAAGACAAGGGGGCAGCGATCCCCATCGGGAGTCAAGGCCAGTTTTTATGGCAGATGCCATCCGTTCCGGGAGGTCGGCTCCCCTAGGGGGGCGGTTCTCGACGCCAGCCCAACACGCATTCCGGAGAGCGGCTCGTCGGCTGCCGTTGGAGAAGCGGGCGATGATACCGAGAGGGTGGGCCCTAAGGCCGCCCAGGCGGATGCAGATGCGTTAACGCGGGGTCCGGCCCGTGTGGGGATGACAGCAGGTAGATCTAACCACTGAATTCTGATCCCAGGAGGGTATAACCTGTTGCAACACAGCGAGCAGGCCGCAACGGATATGACCCTGCTATGTGCGGCCGCTAAGCGTGAAATGTTAAAAGGGGTTAGCGACAGGGAACTATCCCGGAGGGTTGCCGGCGCGGCCTTGCAGGTATTTTTCGATTTTCTTCATGTACCATAAAGTAAATTTTGATGCATACTGACTTGCCTTTCCTCCTTTTTTCCTCTTTTTTAGACTCTCATCTTGGAGGTAGAGAGGGGGCGACGAGCGCAAAGGAAGGCAGCCACCTTTAACAAGGTGGTAAAGAAATATCGGCGGTGCCGCATCAAGCATCAGGCGCTGGCGGACCTACTCAAGCAGGACCCGGAATTTCGGGTTTTCCGTGAGGGTTTGGAGCAGTCGGAGGCCCAGCTGAAACGGAGGGTGGCCGAGTTGGAGCAGATCGACGAGCAGCTGATGACCGCCCTGGCTCGGAACATTGAGCTGGGACTCTTCTCCAGTCTAAGGAAGAAGAGTTGGAGGTTGGCCGTGGGGTAGCGGTGGAAGCTGCTGATTTGCAGATCAAGGTTGCCGCTATGACCACCGAACTCGATGCCAAGGCGGCTGAGATTGAAGTCCTCAAGCGGACTGCTGCACCAAGGCCTGATGAGGATGCGCATCGTGAGGCGCATGACATGTTGGTGTACGCCGAGGCCTGATTGGTCGTATTCGAGGAGTTCTTAGCTTCGGGTCGAGCCACTGAGGCGGAGGTTCAAGAGCAACGGCGCATAGCCCGTGTCGCCCGTGAAACTTGTGGGTATAGTTCTGATTCCCAGACCGGGCGGGCTATAACTCCGAAGACGTCAACCGTCTAGAATCCGGCTCTTGGATCTCTGCGGCCTATCAGGCCGAGGACGGCGGTGGACGAGATGGCGGTCCAATGGGGGGCGGTGAACAGAATGGCGAAGCCCCTTAGGACTTGTATTCATTTTGTTTTGCTGTAGTTGGAGACGTAAATGGGTCCTTTTGTACATGTATTTTTGGATGATAATGGAAGTTATACTTTTGCTGCTATTCTTTTCATTTTGTACCTTTTATTTTCGGCCTTAATATTGTTGATGGCCTTAGCCGTGTGCGCAACTTCGACTATCGTCGAGTTACTCGCTGTCATAGTCGAGCTGGGTCGACTTATCGGCGTCGATGGCCTTAGCCATTATACCGTTTATGGCCTTAGCCATGTGCGTAACTTCGACTGTCATCGAGTTACTTGCCGTCGTAGTCGAGCTGGGTCGACTTATCGGCGTCGATGGCTTTCGCCATAATATCATTTATGGCCTTAGCCATGTACGTGACTTCGACTGTCGTCGAGTCGTTTACTCACTATAGTCGAATCTAGATCGAACGTTGGCGGCGATGGCCTTAGCCATAATATAGTTGATGGCCTTAGCCATGTAGGCGACTTCG